GGAACCACAGTTAAAAGCAAAGGATGTTTGCTCCCTTTCTCTTCTCACATCTATCGTGGAATCGTATTCATTTTAAATTGGAGCCTTTTCTTATTGAAAGTTTGGATGCGACAGTATCTGATGCCTGACCACACAAAACCAGCCGCGTTAAATATTGAAATGCCGTCACATTGTCCAACTTCCATCCTTGCCTCTTTAACACACACAAAGTATTTTTCTCCTTCTTCTCGGAGCCATCATCTTTGTGTCAGAGATGCTCTCCTGTCTGACAACAGCAATTTAGAAGAGTTAACTTTTATCGTTCATTCTGCTGTGTAACTTTCCCCTTCAAATTTCTTTATCTGCCCTCTGAGCTCATCTGAACTTTCATGTTCTCCCAGCATGCAGGCTTGCATTCAAAACTATGTCTAATAGACCAAATAAGAGGTTAATAAGAAGTGGCAACAGAAAGAAAAAAAATACAATCCCTGGTAACTGATAAGAATGACAGTGGCAGCCCTTTATTGTTTGTCTTCAAATATAGAGTTAAAGATCTTTAAAAAACTAAAATTTGACGCCTTTGAAAAGAAAGAAGCACAAAATAACAACAGGGGGTTATTGCCTGGCAGCCACAGGGGAGAAGCTCCATAATTCTTATTCTCCCTTTTGAAGGTTGTTAGAAATCTGATTCAAAAAAGCAACAGCAGAAGGAGAAAGCCTCTTGAGGCTATAGCCATTTCCTGTGATCATGCATAATGTGCTTCAAAAGTGGGTTTTACCAATTCTGTTGATCAATTGCACCTCCTTCATATTCCCTCTTTTTTTCTGCTGTGTTTACATCTGATGCGACTCAATGACAAGCACTGTCTGAGACTGTGAAACAGACCTGTCATGTTGATTTATGGGCGCATCAAACCACGACTTGTCCAAACTGAAGCTCGCAGTTCATTAATTAGAGAGTTGTGACTTTGAAGTCAGCTTTCAGACTGTGGTTTTTAACATTTGGCTTAATTTATATGCTCTTGAATGTGGATCTCTAAGGGAAAAACTGAAATTCCCTTCTTGTCTTTGAACTTCTTTTGACCGCACAATAATCATTTCTTTGTCCAGAGTGATGCCTGCATCCCAGAGTCATTAACGCGCATTGAACTGCCACTGATGAGTAAGCCCTACTGAATTAGAAAAACAGCCAGCAAAACAAAGCTGAGAGCATTCTGCACAGTGATATCTCACAATTACATGCCTTCCCTCCCTGTGCCATTTCCATTTTAATTACTGTTAGTCCTTTAGATTTACATTTTAGACATTTTTTAATCTGTTCCCTTTTTTATTATAGTGGCGCCCGTTAGCGGGCTATAGTTAAGGTTCGTGTCAGCGCTTCCTATTATAAACCCCCCTATTTTTATAACTCAGCTGTAAAAATTCACACTTGACTTAAAACTTGGTTTTCCACAATAGAAAGGGGGGGGGGGTTGACAGCAGACAAGAAATTGCATGGCCAATTTGGGCATATGTGTTTACATGAAGTGCAACCACCGCAAAGATACACAACCAGTTCAGGTATGACTGCAACCTGTAACAATAAACAAAACTGGTCTCCCAACAACCTAACGCCCCAGAAAGAAATCACTTAATACCCATTCAATTTTCCACAATTTTATAAGAGCCAATTTGATCTTTAAAATAACACAGTCTGCATTGCCATTGTGGCTGAAGGCTTGTGGCAAACACAACTGTTATATACAATAAATCCTTTGCATCTAATTTATTTAGAAAGGGAGAGAGTTCATTGCATGTGTGAAATTTGGCATTTCCATTAAAAAACAAACAGATCAAATTTAGGACATCTACCATGTAGACTTTGTTTATAACCAACTTTTATCTTACATGTAGGATATCTTCTGCAATCTTTACTTTCAGAAAAGTAAATGATCTAAAAATGAAAATCTGCTTTGGATTTATTTATTTTACACTAGAAGGAAAGTCTACTAAACCCCCGAGATAGTACTGCCCCGCTCTAAAGAGTTACTTGAAAGTCTGTAAGCTTCAAGAACAATGGTTTTCAATTTTTCTGTTTTGAGAGACCTTTTCCACATCATCAGTTCATCTGTCAAGGAATCCCTGCTATGCAACTCATGTGCAGAAAGATTAAGGGTACATACTGCATAAAGATAACTGAATGATCATCACTGTTGCCGTATATAAAATATAAAATAAATGTGCTTCCTAGAACTCTCTCACATATTTACACACTTATATACCACAGCTGCCCTTGTAAGAGCATATTCAAAGAAATGACTCAAATGCTCCTTGATTACTCATCTTCTTGTGAAGCCCTTGATGAACTTCTGGAGATTCACAGCAAGCCAAAGAATGCTCTGTGAAAATCACTGTTCTACTGGTACAGTTGTTAAATGAAGACAATATGAAGTGGTGTGCTGTGGTCTATTTCTTTTTATTAGTAATTATGATTCAACTGTTTTAACCATAGTTTTAAATGATGATATCTTTATTTAATTCATTTTACACTTTTGGAAAATAAGATTTTAACTTAATATTGTTGGAAATTACCACCTTGGATCCCATCCCAGGAGAAAGGAGTGGTATACAATAAATCAAGTAAATAAGAGTATACTACCATGATGGTTTTGCCTCCACATGCTAGGGTAAATAATTACTACACCATTCTCATTGATATGGAAGAAAACGAGTATTTCCTCAAAATTTTCCCTCGTATTTGAAAGCCCTGAAGTACTTGGGCCTGGGTGGATTCTACAAGAAATATTTCATGTGAGTGGAAAAAGTAGGTTTCACCCATTCTCAGAACATATTTATCCTTCCCGCCCCCTGCACATTTGGTACACAGCAAACTGTTCTATTAGATACCAAATGCTGGGGGCAGGGCCCATCTGTTGCCAGCACAGCTGGTGCCTTCTCTTCCTGATCTCCAAGCTGAGGCAAGCAGTATGCCTGGACTGGTGAAATTCTTTATCTCCTAATGGTTGCTGGCCCACCATCATTATATTTGAATGGGTTTTAGGATTCCTAAAAGATACAAGAGCTCTCGGAAGCTCATACATCTGGAAGGAGGACCTCTTTTTGCAAGATATGAGACAGCCTAATATGGGTTGTTGCAGTTTTTTTCGGGCTCTAGAAGCATTCTCTCCTGACATTATATGCTTCACAAAGTCTTATACACCCCTGCAGTGCCTGGATGCAGTTTAGTTGTCCAAATCTGCGTACTTAACCCAACTATTGGGGAAATGTGAATATTGACAAAGATCTCACCATTCTTTCTGTTGGGAACCCTGATTTTTGGCAAGAGAATGAACAAAAAAAAAAGGAGCATATGATGAAATCTTTCTGAAGGAACAGAACTTTAAAAATGCCTGCTTTAGTCCCAAACATTTAAATGAACCCTAAAACTGCGTCACGTCAGAATTTTTGCTCCTTTGAGATTTGCTTTGGTTACTCAAAATATATAGAAAGGGGAAAGGCAAAAAAAGTACAAATTGACTCATGTATAAATTGACCTTGTGTATAAGTCGAGGGTAAGTTAGGGCCCAAATTATGGATTTTGATATGACCCATGGATAAGTCAAGAGTCATTTGGCAAATAGAGGAACGTGCCAGAGCCACCTCAGAGGACCATCCACCATTTTCCCACCCAGGCATTCAAACAGGCCCTTTGCCACTCTCCTTTTTTAACAAGACTTATGACACAGTATTAACTCATATCAAAAAAGAGAAGCCATCCCCTTTTTGGAATAGAGTGGTGATAGGTGTGATCTTAGTCCATCTCAGGAGAACCTAAAAGAAACACTGATCCCTTCTACTATCTTGGCTCTTATTTGAGGAGAAGCCCCCAAAAGCTCCCACCACTGCCATTTTCCTGCTAAGACATTAAAAAAAGGCAGAAGTAGTCCTACGTTGGAGGGACTATAGGAGAATGGTGCTTCTATTGGGGTTCTCCTAATAGAAGTTCCCACCTTTCACCACTCTACGCTTTTTGATAGGAGTGAAAATAAAGTACATATATTGGCCCATGGATAAATTTGGCTCTGGTATTGGGGGCTGACTTATTGGGGGCTGATTTCTGGATTTATAAACAATATATACAGATAGCTTTAAATGCATATCAATGAACGCATGAAGTGTATGGGATTGGCAAATCTGTCAAGTTTGCCTCTCCCACATTCAACTGTTGTGAATTTTAGTAAATTCTGGACAAAACTGAACTGAACTTTGCAACCAACCCAAATTTGTAAAGGCAGAAGCACTACTGTTATATCTTGACTCAGAATCTAGACACACATTCTAGACAAATATAGGAAACGCAAGCACAATGCCCTGCTTACATAGTCAAACCTTTTAGAGATAACATCACAAACAAGCAAAAATAAGATGCTTTCATTATTTCTGGTTCCAACAGACTATATAAAATAAAGAGGACAGCATATATGTAACCTGGTATAATAATAAATAATAATAAACTTTATTTATACCCTGCCAAAGAGACTTGGGGCGGCTCACAAAGCACTCCAAAGTGCTGCACATAAAAAAAATTACATAGACATAAAAACGATAATAACATGAAATTACAACCACAAACACACCTAAAATGTCACATAATAAAATATTAAAATTCATAAAATGCAGTCGTGACTGTTTTTTTCATGGCATAGAAGCAACTTCAGGATGGTAGGGTTCTGTTTTATTTCACCAGGATAAATGTACACATAATTGGCTTCTGGATCACGAAATTGCACATTATGGAGAATAACATTATTCTCCATCCAAATAAAGATATTTGTATAAGGAAGACAGTACTGGGCAAGTGTGTGCACAACCCCAAAGACCGGGTCAAATATATTTCTAATTGTTTACATTATGCAGTTTTGAAAATAGCAGGTATTGGGGACCGGAAACTTACAAGTAGTAACTTAGAGGAAAATTATGCAGATGCTATACTTTCTGACACAAGCTTGGTTTGCAAATAAAAACTGGTTTTTAAACTGTACCTCTTTAGGCTGTTTTCCAGCATGTTGTTGCTGTAAAAGCTGGAGCTGTAACTGTTCCTGTTGTTTCTTATAAAACTCTTGAAGCTGCTGCTACAAAGAAAAGGAGAGAGAGGGAGGGAGGGAGAAAGAAAGAGAACGAGAGTGTGTTTATTAAGTAAAACAAAGTAGGATAGCCAATTCAGGGTCCCTTTGGTGTAATACACAAACTGTGATTTGAAAAATAGCATCCTTTTATCTGTAATGGCCTGACCTTTAGTTTGAAACTCGACAATAAATTCAGTGCACACTGACTATTCTTGGCATTATCGTTTGAAAAGTAATCTCCAAAATGAACTGATGAAAAACATACCATTTTCTACACAAACTAATTAAAATAAGGCAAGGGATAACCTTTGATTGGAACAACAAAGCCACAATGCCCTTGCTGTGAGAATCTTTATTTGGAACATATACATGCTTTCTAAATTATTGTTGTATTGTACTGTACTAAGCACTGTGTGGTACAGGCACAAGCCTCCTGCTCCCACCCATATGGCCCCAACTCTCAGATAGATAGCTTATTTGAAACTTCCATTCAATGAATGAATGAGGGACTGGGTGACTGTGAGGCACAGTACACAAGGTCAGCTTGCTATGGACTTTGGCATTCCTGTGCCAGTAACGAATTAACCCTGCAGAGTTCGTTGGGATATATAAATCCCAATGCTACGTTTGTGTTTATTTAACCTCCAGCATAGTTGGAGAAGATTAGTCCTAATAGACAGCTTACATTACAGCTTTCCACAGATTTCTATTAAAATCTGAAAGTTTCCATTGGCCTTCTGCTTGCTGCTGTGCCAAGAATTAACAGTTTTGTTTATTACCAGGTAACCTTTGTAAACTCCATTTGTGAGCTACAGGTAGATGCCACATAGAAAAAATTAATCCACCCATTGCTGGAAGTTGCTTGGTACAGTAAATACAGATGAGTAGGACATGCATGGGAGATTACGAAACATCCCAGGGGACCCAAAAAACAAAGAATAGACTACAGCTGACCTTCTTCCGTAGAAATCAGGATGATGGATATATGCCTCAAGTACCAAATAGCTATGTAGGCAAAGGGGAACTGAATCCAATTCCACTACTTTTTCATTCAACAGAACATAGTACATTACAGTGTTTCCCTGAGCTCCATAGTGTCTTGTTTGTCACAGTGCATTCTTACATGTTCTGTGGGGTGGCATGTAGTCAGGAGGTTTTGTTCTCTTGTTCAACTTAATTAAATAATGACTTTGTTTTGGCATATATTCACAAAATGCCATTATTGAAATGGAGATGACATCTTGGAATGTAGTTTCTTAAAATAGTTACAATTTTCATTTTTTTTAAAAATGGAAGGTTTGAAATTTTGGCCCAAGTAATAATTTTTTTTTTGAGAATACACTCAGCCCTCCACATTCACTGAGGCTAGGGGCACAGAATTGCCATGAAAGTGAAAAAACGTGAATAAATAAATTGCTTTTTTAACCTATGAGAACACCTCTCTAGGAATTTCTAGGTCTTCCAGCCAGGTGAACTTTTGCTAGACGCTGAACATAGAATTGCATTGGAAGATCTAGAGATTTCTAGAGAGGTGTTCTCTTTCTCTAGCAATCTTTAGGTCCTCCAGCATGACTGAAAAAAGCTGAAAACAGAGCCACACTGGAGGACCTAGAGATTCCTATTAATAATCAAATCCTCAGAAGTCAAAATGTGGAGGAATGACTGACCAGTTAGGAGAATTATTGGCTCAGTCATATCTTAGGCTGCAGCTCTAATACAGCAAATGGGTGACAAAAGTATACAGATAACTACAACTAATTTAACAGGCTATTAGTGTAGTATTTCTTTCTACAAAGAGGAAGATCTGTTGGTGAATTATGGGGAAAATATATGGGAATTGCCTAACCCATACACATGTTCTCTTCTGGAAGGAAATTTTTATGCCAGAATTTGCACAAAGAAACTGTTCCTCCAATGGTCCTGATAGCCAGCTTAATTACTGGGAAAGGAACCAGTTACCTGTTGAAGCATGAGTGCCTGCTGCTGCTGGAGCAGGACCTGGAGCTGCTGGGGAGTGAGCACTTGCTGCTGGAGGATCTGCTGCATTTGCTGGGGAGTGATCACTTGAGGTGTCATCATAGCCACTGACACTGGAACCTAAAGTATTAAAAAAGTGTAAACGGCAAGAATCCCAACATGTCTCTCATCAAGTTATCCGTGTGTTTTAAACAAAAGACGTAAAGCACCTCCTCTTTTCACTCCAGACATTTGATAACGTTCTGGTATTTCACTTGTGTGATCTCAAATGTCCCTCTCCTCAAGGTTTACATGATAAGCATGAGGCTAAGACATAATCTCACCGTCTTTAGGTCGCAGGAATAAAAAGCACAAAGCAGACTTCATTTTCTTTGTATGTTTCTTTCCCACCGACACCAGCTAAAATACTTTCGCCATAGAAATGATTTCTGAGAAAATTACACTATTGATCTGTGTACCTTTCAGAGGCAACTATCAATTATAAGAATTTTTACATTAATTAATATGTACGGCCCTTCAAAAGCAGCCATCGAGAAGTCGGCTCTAAATGAATTGGAGCAAACGAACACAATTTCAGCCCTATCAAAAGCCGCACCTTGCTCCCAAGTAATTTTAGCTGCGGAGTTCCTACAATGATGTCTCTACCATTCCACATTCACCCAGCATACAGATGGCTTCAATTCTTTCGTATTATGTGAGATACCATTAAAAGCCGCTTTCCATGACATTTCAGTGACAAACAGCTACAGTGATGAACTTGATAGCATTTCATATTTGCAACTGTTAACACGTTTCTGCACGGGCATCTTTGCAAGGAACCTGTACACTGTATCTGAAAGGATGATGTCTTGTTCAGATAAAACACTGACATTAAAATGACAGGCTGTCTTGGCCAAGGTTACACAAATTGTATTCAAGCGGATACCTAATGACAATGCTTTGAATTCTGCAAGCTTTCTAGAATGTAATTTAGCTATTCAAAATAATCACTGCACTTGTGTTTAATTTGCAGACTACATGAGAACCATTTTGTCAGTTCCGGTAATGCAACAAGACTATTTCGTTAGGAGCCCCAAAAGAAAGAAAGGAAGGAAGAGGGGGAAAAGAGGGGGATTACAATGGTGGGGGAGCCAAACTCACATGACTTTGAATAGAAATATTGAGCACCACACTTTTCTTTAGTTTCAGCTCAAATAGGTGACAGCAGAAAACTAAAAGCAGTAAAAGGATATACTTCTTTAAAAAGGATCCGCTGTCATCTCATGCATTACAATAAAAGGTAATAACATGTTTTGAACATTTTCATGCACTGTGTTTTTTTGGGGGGGAAATCAGCAGACAATAGCTGATCAGGAGATAAAAGGGTTTTAACAATATTTCAAGGGAGTAGTAAGCAAGAAAGGAATGCAGTATTAATTTTATGTAACATAATGTCTTAATATGCAGTTTATCTTGACTTTTTCACATGATTTGTCCTGTCATTTGCATAGCAAATTCTCATTCCTAATTTCACAGTCATTATGCACTGATGTCCTGATTTCTCAGCACCACTAATTTTGATGAACTAAAAATGGTTCCTGAAGGTCAGATTCATATATACCGAAAACTATCAAATGTTGTTGTGCACATCTGTGTGTGTGAGAGGCTGCTCTAGAGACACTTGGCATTATACATCTTGATCGCGCTTCACCACCACTCAGAACTAGAAATCCAGACCAAAAAATCAATTCCCAGCCACACTTGCCATTATCAATTTGGGTGATCCTCGGAAGCAGCACAAACCAAAGTAAGACACAACATACATACAACTCAACTCTCTTAGGAGGCACCAATAGAGTTCAAGATCTATACCATTTAAAAGTCTTATTGAATACAATAAGAATTCATCTTGTGCACACTTTATGATTGTCAATTGCATGGTGCTTGCTTTAATATTCATTACTAATCCAGCTATGGCTCCAACGAGTTCACTTGTGCCACTGTCCTGCAGGAATTACAGCTGTAACCGATTTGCTAAAACTTAGTTCCTTGAAAAGTTAATACTAAACAGACTTTCCAGGGAGCAACATCTAAGTCTATGTGGTTATGCAGAAGAGGGCAAACACTAGTACAAATGGCTAGATGCAAACATCACTGTTTAATTTAAATATATATATATATTGTTACTGATTATCATAACAATAATGAAAGGAAAAATGATTTCAAATATGCTAACATATAGGTAAAACAAGAATGTAACAAAAACAAACATAAGAACATGCGAAGCAACATGTTAACACCCAGTACAACCCATTCAGATCCCAAGAAGTGGTCTGCATCATTGAAAACCTCCCTGTGTGGTGTTGCAGTGACCTCTATAATCTCTGATGACATGACTAAGGCCAACACTTTCAGCCATCTGCTGCCATCTGCTTTCTAAACAACAAGGCAAAGTTAGTATTTTCCGGGAAGATAGTACCACTGAGTCTCTGTGCTGGGAAAGATTGGAAAGCGTTAACCAGTTCCACAACTCCCTTCCTCATATTGAGAGGAAGGACATATGTAGTGCATATACTGTCCAGCACAGAAGTTGGATAATTGTACAAAAGGTTAAGTTAGTGAAACCCTTATCCAGGGGGAATAGTTTTGCCTTTTGTGTAGGGCTACCGTGGAACTTAGAAACTCGGCTGTGACCGAGGAAACACCTGGTTCTTAGTGCAGCCTGCCATGAACCAGGGAAGAGAAATAAAGAACGAAAACGCCCTGATATCATCAAGCACCTGCTAGAGATTACAAATTACCCCCTCAGACTCCTGCCTTGCTCCTTCTGCTCAACATTGGCTCTCCAGAATACTCTTAGGAAGAGACTCGCTCAAGTAGCACCACTAGAGGAAGGAGAACAGATGACAGTAGGAATAAGATGTCCAGCGCAGTAGAAAGTATGTAATAAGACAGTGTAAAAGTGTTGATCCACTGGGGGAAATCCCAGTTGAGCTCCACTAAAGATGCAAAGTGTCTTGGGTGGTCCCTAAGGGTTCATATATGCGTTGTAGTAACAAGAGCAAGGAAGAGGAAGCTCTTCTTCAGGAAACATAAAGCAGGTGATATTTTAAATAAACATACTCAAACAGGGCAGACAAATGCAATTATGTCTGTGTTTGTTAGCAGGCTGATATTTAAAATCCGTAACTTCCTATCCATTTTCTTAACTTCCAACGTACCTCTCCGTCATGTAACTAGTCCCTAGTAATACCAAGATTCGAAGGGCATGCAGCAGCACTGATAGGCTATTATAGCCCACACTTTATTACCCATTACTACCAGGTCATTAGCAGCAAGAGTGATTGTACTGGTCTTAACCTATTGATCATTGTAACTACTATCATTTAATCCTGTGTTGAATGTCTGGAAAGCTGCTAAAGGCACACAAGAGAGAGTGCTCTAGCTCTGAGAAATATAGCTAAAGCTTGGAAATTACACTTTGATTCATAAAAACTAGCCAATGGTTTAAATCAATAGTATTTAAAACAGTCGTGTAAGTTCTTAACTGTGGTCTCTAATATTTATGGGTCCCTGTTTGAGTGTATTCTGTCAAAACAGCACTTATTTTAGATACTGCGTGACACAGAGTTAAATATGAAATCTCTTTATTCTTGATACAACAGGGCTTCAGTCCCAGGTGACTATAAATTGTGATGCTTTTCACAAATGACAAACACCTAAAACAAACACTTCATTTTAAATCAGATCTACTTTAAAAAAGAACAAAACCCCACCACCATAACTGAGTATCTGTAACTATCTAAATCAACTACACTACAAATGTTTATTGAGAGGACTTGTGCTTGCTACCCCAGGACAAACTAATTATAATGTATATTCGACTAAACATGTTTAATGCATTTTAGAGTCAGTTTTGGGCAGGAGGGGGTAGGAATTCAAGAGATTATATTTATTAACATCAAGAAGTCAGAAAGAAGGTGCAAAGAAATTCATGTCCAGAGTACAATGCTGTACACATTTACTCGGCAGACATTTTTTCCGAACTCAGGAGGATTTACTTTCAGGTAAACCTATGCAACATCACCAGACAGCAAAAACCCAAAAAAGCCTTTTAAAACACACTTAAATCCATTATCCTGTTTTACCTTTTAGGCAATGAATTTGGTTTATTTAATGAACTACCTGTAGTCTGGCCAACCGATACTCCCAGGGTGTGGTAGGTATCCAGCTGCACTTGGAGCTGGAAGTGAAGGGAAAATATTTGTGCTGCTTCACTATCAGAATCCCATTAGTAACAGACCTGCTGACATTCCAATAACATCACTGGCAAAAATGCCTTTAAATGACACCTCCTCGCTCCAGGTTTATTTCCCTAAAGCATCTCTCCATGTTTTCTTAGATTCCCAAGGCAGTGCCATATTTGCCTCACTCACTTTCCTTCTGAAATATCCCACTATTATAGCTCTACTTTTGGGCCCCAGATCGTGTCGGGATGAAACTTGTTAAGACATTGTGGCTGATGAAAGGGGATGAACCATACACAATTCCAGCTTTTCTATGATGCTAAACATTAAACATTGTGGTGCAAATCTATATTAATTGATTTATTGTTTGTTTTCTAAAATACGTTCAGGTTACAGAAAATATTTATCACTACCTATTTTCAGGTGATGATTTTTTTTCTTTTTTGGCATCAAATAAGTTTCATAATTATAGACTACTGATATAACAATGTAGAATTAATTTTAAAAATTATAAAATATATCCCAAATGCCATCTCTGACTAGCAGTGAAATGTATGCAAATCAGACAAGTACAGACAGCCACTAAGATAATAAAAAGGAGATTTAATGGTACAATCTTAAAAATACCAAGGTCTACAGAAGCAAGGTTTCCGATCTGAGCAAACAGTACATATCCAGCTTTGGTATTATTACCATAAGTGAGAATAAATGCATTCAGCTCAAAGCGTTGTGTTGCAAGGTAACTTTTCACCCCTGGAATGAGTAAACACTAAATTATGTTACCTGTATCTCCCTCCAGACAGAACATTTCTGACACAATATTTCATGTCTTCAAAACAAAAACAATTAAAAAGGCAAAGAAAACCTCACACTGCTGGAACTATTCATGTGCAA